GAACATCTGAAAACAGATGGCTAAAATAAACATCTATCGGAGTGCCAATCGGAAAAGAAACAGAGAGGAGAAGCGAGCGAAAGACGGATGAAGGTGCGCTGAGAACGAGAACGAGAGCGGGAAGAGGGAAGGGAAGAGAATGGAGGACTCAAGGCCGAACAGATTATTTCTGTTCCAGCCCTGAGGTAATTAATAATCAATCTTCTCTAGTTCATGTTTTATTCAGAGTGACCCGTAAAATGCAAGACTCTCCCCTATTTATACAGCTGGCTTTGTGCTGCCAGATCACAGCCAGATGACTTTGGCCAAGGGCGGTCGAGCACTTCGCTTCTCTCCTCCAAGATTGTAAACTTTACATACTGATCTTAGATCAGCAGTCTCTAAAGTAAACAGCAGACTCAAACGTTATGAGAGAGGAGGTGAAACTGGTCACAGAACATAACTGACAGTAACTTTCATCAAACAATGACTGCTCATCATAGACACAGCTGCAGTGCAGGAGAGGGGCGTCTCACAGCTGCGGACAATGTCACAGATGATTGCATCCTCTCAAGGAATTATTCATAACGAGGTATTGAAAGTAACAAAAAAGTATCATGGTATTACCACCATTGGGTTTAGCTACATTTATGTTATGTATACATACATATATAAACATAAATGTACGTGTATGTGTGTGCGTGCATGGCTAAACATATATTTAAAAAAATCTATATTAAAAAAAGTACCATGTTACTAAATGGCATGGTAACAAAATATAAATATATAATAAGTACATTTGGTAATTGCATAATAAAGAATTTAAGGTAAATTAAAATGTATTTAAAAGTGCTTTGTAAAAATATTTATTATACTTAGGACCGTGTGATATTTCAGTTTTTCTTTTTTTTTAATAAATCTGCAAAAATGTCAACAATTCTGTGTTTTTCTGTCAATATGGGGTGCTGTGTACATTAATGAGGAAAAAAAATTAACTTAAATGATTTTAGCAAATGGCTGCAATATAACAAAGAGTGAAAAATTTAAGGGGGTCTGAATACTTTCCGTACCCACTGTATATATAAAAATAATAATCTTTTTTTTTTATATGCACCATGGCATCCAAAGGTATCTGTACCACCACAGTACTCTTTTGTAACGGCATATTTATTACTCACAACCTAATAACCCTAAAGCTAAATTCTAAATGCCTTATTAGATGTACAATGCACAATAATTTTGTTTTTGTTCCTGAAAACACCAATTCTTCATCTAAATGGGGTGCGTTTTTGGTGAGTCTATTGTCTTTGTTGGCTCTGTGGGTTGTATGACTGAGTGGTTCTTTCAGCACCGGCTTAATCACCTTCCTGCATTCCAGCCGTTTAAACAGAGATGCAGTAACATCCTGTGAACAGCTCAAACCAAATAAAACAACATTACGCCATAAACAGAGAAAAAGAACAGGCAAGGAGGACGAGTAATAAAAGAAGCATTGACCACAACAGAGGACGAGCTGGCAGCGAGGCCTAATAGGCCGGTCTGGCGGAGTTTAAGTACTATATGAGTATGAGTTCACAAGTGTGTGCTTTTGTGTGCATTGTGATCTTCTTGTGTGTTTGCATTGTCTACGTCCTGATTTGTCTATACTGGTGATGCATTGCGGGCTTATGTATGACTTGCGCAATCTTCGATTTTCCTGTCTGAGTAACTCCGCCAGTCGCCATTAAGAGCGAAGGGGACAAGAGCTTTAGAAAAAAGCCCAAAAAAGTGCTGGGAAACAAACACAAGAAGATACTTCGAAGAATGTTCCAACTGTTTTCTCAATGTAAGTCAATGGGGTCCAAAACTACTCTATACCCCATTGACTTTCATTGTATTGTATATGGATGGGAAAAAAAAGGACATACTTCAAAATAGCTTCTTTCGCGTTCAAGTTATAAAGGTTTGGAAACAACATGAGGGTGAGTAAACGATGACAGAAATGTCATTTTTGGGTGAGCTATCCTTTAAGAGAAGAGAAACAAAAAGGAAACACTGTCTTTATATGCTATAAACTGTGAGAGAGACAAAGGAAATCAGCGTAAAAAAAACAAAGTCATATATTACCCAGCTCAGTGCCAGCTTGGAGTGCCAGGCCAGTAAAAAGTAAGCCCATAAAAACTGTTAATTAAAAGATCAATGTTTAGCTTCAAAGAAAGGGCAAGGGCTCAAACAGTGCGCGGCCCCTTGTAAATACTAAAGCACATTCTGAATGCAAGAGGCTTGTCATTAGTAGAGGACTGGGCATAGAGGACACCAACCTCAATCCTCTACGGGCTCGATGGCGACTGTGCCACAAAAGGCCATTCAATTAGGTACTAATAACTCGGTTTATAAGAATGATGATTAGCAAAGAGCCCCCTCCCAAATCGAAACTACGGAGAGACATACGTGCCATCAAAAGACACCACAAGTAAATTAATGTGGACATTACTAACAATAATGGACTGAACAGAACACGCTAAATAAGCCAATAATGAGCCCAGACTTTTCTCGTCAATTTGAGTCTGTCATGGCCAAACGGGCCCGTTCTGGCATCTTCCATGTTGAAGGGATCTAAATGGGTGAACTGCAGCGCGGAGAGAACGCTAATGTAATGTGCTACACTCCCAACGCAAAGAAAAGAAGAGAGGTCAAAGAAGACATCAATCAAAGGGGCTTGTGAACGCCGGCAACTCGTCCAATCCACCATCTGCAAGTGATTCCACCATCAGAGAAAGACCAAAAGTGTCTTCAAGCGGATTGTGTCTTACATGCAGGACATGTAATTGAAGAATGAGCAGGATCCCGTACATGTGGATACCATATGGATGCGAAATGCTAAATATCTCTGAGCTATTGGATTTGGAGAGGAAAAATCCTGATATATGTGTAACCGTTTGAGAGGTAAAGCCTAACCGGTGAAACCTGAAATATTCATTATCACTGCCTTAATGTGTACGACACGAAATTGGCACGTTGGCCAAGCCGAAACAACTCTGCCAAGTGTTGCAACCCTGCACAAACCTGCTCGCTCTTGAACAATCCTACATAATTCAATTGCTCCGTGCTCACCAATTTATCTGAGGACCCAAATGAGTCAAAAACCTGGCGCGAAGGTCCAGGAGTTCTTATCGCCCCCCCATGACAGCGGTGCTTTCTAAACACTGTCAATGATAGTTTGGACAAGATAAACACAGAATCGTTGACCTTAGAGAAGGTCCATGAGGAATAACAGTTTGGAGAGACCGAGCAAAAACAGAGTTCAACAGCGCTTTTCAGGATAACCACTAGAGAAGGGCTTGAGACTGCAATTGAAGACCATTATTCTGGAAATTCTAGTCCCTTTTAAGCACATCATGGGCAAGAATTCACTTTGAAAACCAAAGATCAGACCTCATGTTTACATAGCGCAGTAGCCTTAACTGACCAGTGGCAACAAGGCCAGGCAACTTTTCAGTCCGTCCTTACAGTCTGGTGAAAGCTGTCTCTCTCAAAGGAAAATAAATGTACAGACGTCTCTCTACTTCATATTAAACAAGTACTGGAGGGGGGGGATGTCCCTTGGAAAGTGCCAATTTTTGGAACAAAGTTTACTTGCAGCAAACTAAAAATCTTAAACATTATTTGTTCGCTGGCCAAAGGCTTGTCATCAGGCAGCCCACATAAAAAATGCATTTCAATAATGTTGGAGTGAGCCAAAAACCTGCCAAGCAGATAGTTCCCCGTGCAGTGAAACACATGAGCATTGTATGAGCCTTGGCACCATCACAGCAGATCACTCTCCTCTTCTCTTGAGGAATGGGGCCGATTTAAAGTGAGTATAATGTATATGTAGACTTCCAGACAATTTATTTTTCTGATGTTACAAAAAGCATTGGGGATGGATGCAGAACCGGGACGCACTGACGCAGGGACTAAACCCAGTGTCCGTTTGCAGACAATTTACTGTTACGGTAGGTATGGCAATGGGTTCAAAGTGAAGTGCAGAAAACGGATCCACGCATGCATTTATTACAGAGAGGGGATCGTTCATCATGGAGAGACTAAATCCAGCCACTACCTCCTCAAACGCTTCTCTCTTTCGCCGTCCAAATGCTGACACTCCTTTTCTTTATCGCGTCATTCCAGTTGCTCTTTTTTTTTCAATATCTTTCTCACCCCCCCTCTTCCACTCTTGGCTCCCCCCCGCCTTTTAAGTGAGCCTTGGGTAGCTTTTTGGTTTTCTTTTGTTAAAGTAACAGTAAATGAAGCAAATAAAATACAATATATTGGACTATTTATTTTCTGTAGGAACACATTCCACTCTATAAAGAGGACTAATGGCATTTACACAGCGCCGGACTGATTCTTAAAGCCAATAGGAGATTTATAGACAGCGAACGTTAGCGTCAGCTAAGGGCCGTGAGGGCCAGGCCAGATGGCTCCAGTAATCAATGGGTGACAAATCCAAGTACCCGAGAAACCTTACAGGTTCCTTGAGTGTGCATATACGCATAAATACACAAACTTTATTTGCTAAGTTGAGTCATGAAGAAAAGGCAAGATGTATAAAAAGTTACATTGATTTGAGGACCAAACTATCCTCGACAAAGTCTTTATGGTAACAGTTTACAATAACATTCAGTTTAGTACCATTAGTCAATGCAACGGGTATTATGAACTAAGAATGAACAATACTTTTACTAATATCTGTTTACATGTATCATTTTTCAATTGATCTTGGTTGATGTTAATCTTTACTTTTTTACATCTTCAAACTAATACATGTATAATAATTATATAACATATTATATCTGTATAGTTTTATATATATATACATATATTTATAATAATATTATATTTATATATATAATATTAAATAGAGCAAAATATATACAAATAGTTTTTACTTTAAATATATAAATATATTATACATATTACAAATTAAAATGAGTTAAACTAATACATACATACAATAAAAAGTGATACATTTCAGTGAAAAGAGTATCACCCTTTCTTACCTGCTCGGGGCTCATCTTCTGAAGCTCTTCCTCCCAGGCTTCCTGTTGGCTGCGGTGGTATGCGGAGGGTGGGGCCAGGTCCTGCAGGATGTGGGGGTCTCTCTCGTGGCACAGGGCTGTGAGGTGGCCGATGTACAGTTTCAGCTTACTGCGGTTTTGATTGAGGTCTATGAGTGGGGGGATAATCTGTCCAAAAACAGGAATGAGGAAATGGGTTAGAGATAAAGAGTCATTTTAATCTCAGTTTTCCTCTACCGTTCAAGAATGAGATATCTGAACACGAGCCAGGGAGATAAAATGGCGGGTATGCAGACGCATGCTAAAATGACACGCAAACAACACTTTTAGCAAGCCAGAACACAGAGTTCAAATTCAGCTTTGTCTCATATGATTGAATTCAAAAAGAAGGAAGGGAAAAAAGAACAATATTCAGTGAAAGGTTGTGGATGATTATGGATGATAGACCACAGCTGAAACACATGAATCACAGTGAGAACAGTGGTATAATAAAAATGTGTCAGGAGAAACATTCCCATTCCAGGAACACAGACAAACAATCTCAGTTACCTGGACCGCTGCCTACAGATGCCCGGTCTTTACAAAACATCTCTATACACACAGCAGACACTCACACGGCTTTTCCATATCCATCAAAATAATACATACACTTCTGTGGGAGAAAATCCAGAAACCATATGTCTTTGTGCCATGTGTGTATCCTACTGGCTTCAACAAAGAATTCTGGTACAATGCATGATTGAGCCATCACATTTGTTTTCACATCAATCTAAAAATGAGATAAATAGCAGCATGCGGTCTGTTTCGATATGAATGAGAGTTTGTTGTATGCTTTATTTTGCATGTCGTTGCCTAGCAGTTAAAGGCCTGAACTGGAGCGGAACGCTGTAGGTTCATAATATAATATAATATAATATAATATAATATGAAATTTGGTACAATTTCACGTGTTAAAAATTAGGGAGTACTAACTTGAAACTGTCTACTGATGAAAAGTCATAAAAATATACATATATAATATACTTAAAATATACATTTTTAGAACATTTATATATATATATATATATATATATATATACTCTAAAAATGTATGTTCTAAAAATGTATATTTATATTATGTAAATATAATATAATATATATATATTATGAAATTATTAACAATTAACAAAATAAAGCATATAGTATACAGTAAACATTTATATTAACCTAGATTAATGCTGAATGAATGATAAATGCTGTTCTTTTTTCATACACACACACACACACACACATATTATAAATATATATAAAATAGTATGCCCATATTGATGTAATATTGAGCCCCATATTTTTTTTAAATAATAAAATAAAAAAGATACTATGATTTAATGACATTATATGAAATAAAAATGCTAATACAATCTTTTATATTGTATTGTTAGAGAATATTTTCTGCCACAAGCGCCATATACACAAAATGATAAAACTTCTTCACAATAATGCAAAGATGAGTAAAAGAATATGTCTCAAACCAAGGCTGGCCTTTTCCTTTCACATTCTCTTATACGAATCAAGATGTTACATAAACTGGATTTGGGCTGCAATGGCGGATCCATAAATTCTGGGATGGGAGAGGTGAGCAATGCTTTTGAAATACTACAGTACAACAGAAGACAGCAGAAGATCTATTGAAATGTTCCCTTATAAATACCTTCTCAAAGAGGGCCGAGAACATAGTAGGGCTTAGGGAGCTCTGCGAACGCTCCTCATCACTCAATAGCAGAAAGCAAATACAGTTACCTGATTGTCGAGAAGCGGGGAGAGGAAACAGAGGCTAAAAAGAAAGAGTGAGTGATGAGAGAGATGTAAGAAAAGACAGGGACAGAGTCTGCTTTGGTCTGAAGCGGCCCGAGCTTGCAGGAACATTTGTGTCCCCACACTTTATTAATTCTTATTAACCCCATCTATATCTTTCCAGGGCAGAATGTTATTCTGTTTTCGTTGGCTTGCCGTGGGACATGAAGGCTCTCTAGGGTGGACCCTGGCTGCGGAGTGCGATCAAACAAAACTGTGAAAGAACGAGATGGAAGAAGGTGGAGGAAGACCAAGGTTGAAGAGCTTACAAGAGAGAAAGAAAGGCTAAAGCGGGCCGCCGGTTCTCTGGAGCCAATTAGACGACGCAAACTGGGTTTCTGCATAGAACTGGAGCAGCAGACCTACATCATGCTCTCGTTAGTCTACGGTCTAGTGCGGCCTGGCCTCCAAAACCTACTAAAGCACATTTGGGTGCCAAAACTCAAACCCCTGCCTCATGGTGAATGAATAATAAGGCAGGAATTCATCTGTTGAATTCATCTGTTGAATCAGCTGTGACAAAAAAGTCTGCATTTATCTACGTGACACACGGCAGACCAACGGCAGAGCCTGTCGTATCAAAGCCGGATCGGAAACAGCTGTATACGCCCTTCCGTATCTCCGTCAGGTCTTGTATCTCAGCCAAGCGGAGGATATATGGGGCCTCCAGATTGACTGGCAACCATAGAAAGAGGGACGAGGCCTTAAAAAGGCGGTCTGATAGAAGCCCTCCAAACCACTGTGACAGAACAGCCGGGTGGATATGCTCAGAAAAAATAAAAAGATGGTGCCACATAAACGTGTGCACGCACACACCATTACACAGAGACTTGCTACATACATGCTTGACTGAAATCATGCTGTGCGCTAATAAGCTTTAAAAAGGCCCATCAAATGATGGGATTTGACGTTTATTCCCTTCTCTTCCTACCCATCTGCTCTTAGAAAGGATGAATGGACTCCGGTTCTCATCTGTAGACAAATGCCCAAACACGGTGCTATCTGTCACCCTCTGGTTTTAACTACTAAGTCAACACCTCTTTGGTGACAGAATGCGATAAACAGTCCTCTCGCTTCATTACCTGGAATCAGGCTAGTGGTAAATTCAAGAAATGTGTAGGGTCGTGACCAGGCTTTGAGGATGGCCACAGTTAGCCTAGCGCTAGTTAGCATAGCGCTAACATCGGACTTGTCGTAGCTGGTGATGTTTTCTGTCAACTGGGTGCTGTCATAACTGTTTGGCTTGCGCCCGTGTTGCTGTTTAGTTTTTTTGTTTGTTTTTTTTTAAAGTCCTGTGGTAGACTGAGATCATAAATAATGCAAACAATAACAGAAACAAATATCATGCCCAGGTGACAGATTTACAACAGGGTAATTTTCCACTCAAAGCGCCATTTGTCTCGTCTTGCTTTGGACACACACGATGGATGGGAGTGGGTCCCTGTTTACCCATCATGCTTTGCATGACGTCTTGGAAAAATGATCTATTCGATCCAAGATGTCTCCAAGAGAAGGTATGCCAAATAATTTTTTTAAATCGAATTACATGATACGTCAATTAATCAATGAAATGGATTTTAATCACATACATTAATATTAGCTGGAAAACCCCCAAATTAACGTACCGGTAATTTAAAACCATTAGATTACTGTGCTTATATTGGGTTTTATTAGTCAACATAGGCATATTGTTTATTTTATTTCCATATTATTGAACAATCATTCTGCAAACCACTTCTCTGTTTTTTTTCCAGACATGTAACTGCATACATTAGCTATTTTTCAACTGCTTTAAATGTGGTACATAAAATCTAATTTTATAATTAGTAGTATTTCCAATCCTGTTTGTAAAACTTGCATGTTACGATTTGCTTTTTGAAGTTATTTTGTAATGATGGCAGACTATTTGCTTCCATTAAATAAAAAAGTTAATAAAAACATTTTTATATTAAAATATACAATAAAATTAAAATATTAAAAAGTTGATAAAATATAAATATAAACATATAAAATTCCAAAACAATTTGTGGTTCAATTTCATTTAAAAAATAATAAATAAAATATAAATAAAAATATAAATAAATAATAAAATAAAAATAAAAATATGCACTGTCATTTTTTCTTAGTGTTTTTAATGGTTACATTTCCATAAATTGTTTGTGATATGTTGTGTACAGTAAACTGTTGTTAAGTACAAAGAACTGTACAACTGCAAAAACAACTGTATTGTTATATATATTGTTGTTGTAATTTAAAATATCTAATGTCATAAAGAATTTTTGTCAGACTTTATATTAAGGTCCAATTCTCGCCATTAACAAATCATTAACTATGACTTTTGCCTTAATAAACTCCTAATTTGCTGCTTATTAATAGTTAGTAAGGTAGTTGTTAAAGGGGTCATATGATTACGAATATTCAGCCAATATGTTAATAATAAGCATGCTAATAATAATTGGTCATAAAGTGATAAGGAAATTGTTTATTTCACCCCCCCCCCTGCACTGAACGACCGTTGATGTGACAGTGACAGAGAAAATCAGAGTCAGAACTCCTGGGATGCTCTACTGACCCTCTAAGGACAAAAATATCAACAGACTGTGGGTATTGACCACAAAGACCCTTGTCTTTTCTCTTGCTCTTTGCCACATTGATCACCTTCTTGAACCTCACACTCCAGCTCCCGCCTAAAGACCAGCATTTGCAAAAGGTTCACTGAGGAATCTGTCCGTCTGCTCTCTTTCATTATGTCCCCTCTAAAAGAAACTGTCTTCACCAGATGCCGTGGTGTGTTGCATACCTACTCCTACCTGGCACTGTCATAACTCGAGAACCCTTCCTCAAAAAGAGCAGGGGGAAAGAGAAGTCAGACTCCTCTACAATGACCGGCCTCCTTCACATTCTCCCTCTCTCATTTATCACCTATCAGCTCATCGGGCGCCATTCGATACCCACACTGAGAGGCAGGAGCCTGGATCAATGCTGTCAGTCAGGCGGTCCATCAGAGACGAGCCACTGGCTCCTTCCTCATAGACTCTGGAGGCCCAGCGGCACAGGAAGCCCAGCTCAGAGCAGCTCACCCAGGTGGGGGAGGATCTGCAGATCGCGGGCCTCTCTCACAGTAGCCGGGCCCCGGCGCACATCCTTTCCCGTGGCTGAGAGTTTTATTGGGCTATCCTCTTTCAGTCTCGCTGCGCTACGCGTCCATGAGTGTTAAGGGGATAAAGATAAGGAGGGACTGCAAAGCTTCAAACCTGCGAGACACTGACAAGGCCGGTGGGCCTGCCGTCATAAAGCACTTTTCAAGAAAGAGACAAATCACCTCCACGGCATGC